TGAGCCACCGCGCCCGGCCTAAATTACATTTTTAAAATGAGGTGTTTTATTTATATTTGTATCTTGGGTGCTTTAACATAGTAGGTATTGATAAATAATACTAGTAATATAAAAGAGGGGTCCTGCAGTGAGATAATCAGAAAATGTTTTATTGGCTTATATGGTCAAATAGCTTAGCGTTTATATGTGTCTTGTGTAATTGACTGAATACATACTGAAGTTTCCAGAAATTAATCTAAATTATGCCTAACTGGGCTAAGAAATGTGGCATTAAAAGAACCATGCCCAGCTACTCAGGAGGCTGAGGCAGGAGGATCGCTTGAGCTCAGAAGTTTGAGGTTACAGTGAGCTATGATCTCACCACTGCACTCCAGCCTGGGTGACAGAGCAAGACCCTGTCTCAAAAACAAAAAATAAAATACAGTAAAATAAAAGAACCATGCCAGCCTTAAAAAAGCAAGAAGTCCTTCTTCCATTTCTTTGTTTTATGGTTTGGCTCTTTTTATATAGGCTTTCATAAAATGAGGCATAGACTACTTTTTTTAAAGTGATCAAATGAGGAGGATATAAAATGAATCTTTAAAAAAAAATCCCCTTTTAAGAAAAAAGTTATATCTTTTAAAGGAACCCAACATGTAGAATTTATAATTCAGTTGGCACATGAAGTTGAAGAGTCATAATTACAATGAAATTGCAGACTAATCAGTAGGTAGTTAAGTACATTTTGATTAGCCTGTGTAATTTTGAATTACAGATTTATTCATCTTATTAATCATTATTTCCAATGTTTTTCCAATTCTGTTTTACTGAGTAGCATAAATAGCATTGTTGAGGCCTGGCACAGTGGTTGATGCCTGTAATCATAGCACTCTGGGAAGCCAAGGCAGGTAGCACTCTGGGAGGCTGAGGCAGGAGGATTGCTTGAGGTCGGGAGTTCAAGACCAACCTGAGCAATAGCGAGACCCCATCTCTACTAAAAATAGAAAAAATTAGCTGGACGTCAATGGTGGGAACCTATAGTACCAGCTACTAGGGAGGCTGAGGCAGGAGGATTGCTTGAGCCCAGGAGTATGAGGTTGCAGTGAGCTAGGCTGATGCCACAGCACTGTAGCCTGGGAGACAGAGCAAGACTCTATCTCAGTCAATCAATCAATAAATAGCATTGTATTTTACAATAAGAGATCAAATGTTAGGTGAGATTTCAATGGCATAGACATTCATTTAAAAATCATGATTCACCATGACATTTAAAGGCATTCCCATTGAAGAGAAAGAAAAGCTGTACTATTTATCATCTTAAATTCTATTAGGGTTCCTATATTAAAATAGGAAAACAAATGAAAAATAAATATAGGAAGTACAAAAGTACTCCTCTGCTTTTAAA